TTCCTTTATTGTAAATGTGTTTCTAACTTGTACTGATTTATTATGACCTGTTTGTTTTCCCTTGTGAAGCACTTTGATTGATGCAAGGCATTGTTGGAAGGTGCTATATAAAGTTTAATGTTTTTATTATTATTATTATTAAGATGAAAAATCCACTTTTTTAGCTGTTAAATACATTTTGTTGTGAACTTGGGAGTCTCTAGGAAGGCAAAAAAGTTTGGTGTTGATATCTTTATTTTCTATTTGAGTCATATTTTTCAACCCGTTCAGTTGTCTCTATTCTCTACGACATTTTCTGAACTAAATAAAAAGTTTCTGCGCAGCTATATAGYCGTAAACCCCTCTATCAYACTAGAACGGACCGGTCTAGAAGCTGGAGGGGGTGGGGTGAAGTGCCTCATTTGAATTTAAAGAGACAGCCTCAAAATAAGTTGATCTGAGACACGCCTCAACAGGGGGCGGGGCTTGTGGAGTTTCAGAGCAAAGCATTGCAGTTCCACTTTATACAGATTCCAACTGAAGGATTTAAATGTGAAAAGGAAGGATTTAAAAGCATCATACGTCTCCTTTAACTAAAATCCACACTGTGCTGTTGGAGATATTTTGCTAACAGACCTTTCACGTCAACAAGCGATAACTGTTTGCGACACAAGCGTCTCCTCCGCTCGTCAGAGACACGCGGGGCTCGGACTCCGCCTCCCGGAGACGGCGCTTTATGAGTTTGTGGAAACGACCGGCCTGATGGATGCGGCCGCGTCAGCACTTCTGCTCTCCCGGGCCGCAGCCTGGCCGCTCCCTGTCACGCACTCCGGGGCCGTGGTGATGTACACGTTTAATCCATTACTACACACTTGCACTAATTGTCTTCAGCTGCTGTGACCTTTTTTATGGGAAATGAAAATAAGTGGAGGCGCGGAACAGGCGATATTGGATTCTGTTGTTAATTAATGTGTGTATTATCTGGGTGGGTGAAGCCAGGGGGAGTGGGATAATTGAATTACAGTCAGTGAGTTGGGTAATGCACTGCTGTAATTGTTCCACTGTATAAGACACTGCTCACATTAGGGAGATGCAAAGCAGGCTTGATTTGCTTTGAGAGAATGCTGCAAAATTATTGTTTGGTTTTGGGGAGCGAAACATAAATAGGTTTCTAATTTAACCATCGAGTTTCTGTAAACAAAATCTTACAGTAAACAACCAGAACTTGACTGGAAAGTCAGTGTTTCATGTAAAACAGAACATTTTCTGTACTTTCATACAAAAACACCATTTTAATCTTCTTGAATTGTTTTAATGGAAACCTGTTTATTTGCATTAATACTGCAAAAGACAAATGTTGAGCAGGATTAATCGTTTTGTTTGACTTCTGCCGAGGGTGCACTGATGAGTTTCTTTAGGTTGTGGCGCCATCTTGTGGCCATCTTTTGAACAAACTCCCTTTTTTCTGGAGGAACTTTAAAATTACGCACCGTCCAAACCTAACCCCAAAACCAAATAATAAAAACCAAGAAAGAAAGTTAAGCGTAAGTATTAAAAATAATAAGTTCCAGTTAGAAACACAAGCTAATGCAACTGAAACCTACAAAATTACAGGTTTCCAAATGGTGGTCCATACCTGGAACCAGAACATTCCCTCTTAATGGAGTTTCATGTCCTCACCATGCACACACGAGCTCTGGATACATCTGTTTCCTCCTACAGACCAAAAACATGCATGTTGGGTTAATATGTAGCTCTAAATTGTCCCTAAGTGTGAGAATGAATGGTCGTTTGTCCCTCTGTGTCCCTGTGATGGACTTACAACCTGTCCAGGTCAGGGTTCCTACCGTTTAAGGCAAGTTTAATTTAAGACCTTTTAAGACTTTTTAATACCAAGTGAAGTTAAATTTAAGACCAGTTTCACAATAAACACAAAACTCATAAACCAAAGTGTTTTTGGTTGAAGTATATTGCTAATAGACGAATTGTTTTTATCCATATCTAACTATAGCAGAAACATTCTTAGCAGTCAGTTTTAAACTTCATTTAATTTCTGGAAATCCTCCAACGACCCAAAATTTGGAGTTTTAGGACCCATAGCGGGGTCTTAACCCAAACCTTAAACTGCTCGTGACATCAATTTTTTTGTAAGAAAAGTGAATGCATTTTTGGAAAAACAGCATTAACATATTACAAAACAAATTTCACGTTGCTCAGATGAACAGTCGTTGAGATATTTGTTGAGTGATGTCAAAGGGGAATGTCTGCATGTGAATATTTAAAAACATAATTTTTACCAATTATTTTAATATTTGAAATGAATTACAATCATCCTATGTACAATGT